CTCCCTCTCCCACTCCCCCTGCTTGTGTTCCCTCTCTCGCTGTGTCTCTCTCTGTCAAATAAATAAATAAAATCTTAAAAAAAAAAAAAAGAAAGCATGGTTTGAGAGTCACATGGACCTGGGTTTGAATCCCAGCTCTGCCATTTCCTGGTCTCTGACCCCAGGCAAACCTCTGTGGGTCCCTGAGCTTCATTTTCCCCATCTGTGAAATGGGAGAATAACTGACGAGGCCAAGAGACAAGGTCCCCATAGAGTACACACTGAGTGTGGCATGTAGAGCTGCTCAGCAGTCTCTGGGGAGAATATTGGTATTGGTGGCGGCTCACAGGGTGGGAGAAGGAGTGTGTGAGCCTCAGGGTTCGTCGCTGGCAGGGACATGGCCCTGGGGGGTGCCCCTGTTCTGTGGGACTCCCGTCCCCCAGAAGGCCTGATGACTGTGCACAGGGGGCCAGGGCTATCCGCAGGTCTCAGGGGGTCTTCTTAATAACCAGTGTTCTCAGCCATTAAGAAGGATAAAGAGACCATTGGAAAACAGACTTTTGCCGAAGCACAGTCAGCATGAATCCAACTGAAGAAGTCCTGACACGTGCCCCAAGCCCAGTGTGAAGACCACCCTGCCGCCACCAGCTGCCGCCGTCTCCATCTGCCATGCCGTGAGGGTCCTTCTTCAAGCCTCTCTCCCGCTCGAGTCTCTTCTACCTTGAATGGTCTCCATTCACTCTCGCCTGCCCTTCCCCCAGCAAAATAAATGCCCCTTCTATTCCAGGAGCTGCCGGGGAAGTCCCTGGTTGACTTCTAGGGAAGTGTTCGAAAACTTCGGAGTGTGAGCAGAGGACTCCACCTGCCCTGAATCAGCCCCAGGCTTGCTCAAGTGCAGGGGCCTGCGCGCTCCCCATGCCTGCCTGCGTGCTTCCCGGGACCTGCTGAGACAGAATCTCCACGGAGGGGCCAGGAATCTGTATTTCTAACAAGTTCCCCAGGTGATTTGGATGCACAGAAAACATAAAAACAAACAAACCAACAGTGATTTGTCTTGAATCTTCACTGAGGGTCAAAGTCCAGCTAGGGATTGGCCTGGAAAATTCACGAAGTAATCTAACTGAAACAGCTTCTATCCGTGTGTGTACCCAGCAGGACTACCCGGGAGATCTGGATTCTCGTCTTGATCTTATACCAATAAGCTGTGTTGCCTTGGACAAGTCACTTCTCCTCTCTGGGCCTCAGTTGTCTCACCTGCAAAGGGAAGGGCCAAGACTTGAGGGTCCCTGGGTCCATCCTGTTCCAACACGCTTGGAAATCCGGTTGGGACGGGCTCCTTTGTGGAATGGGAAAGGAGAATGGAGGGGTGTAAGGGGCGAGTCTAGATGTCCCATCCCTGCCTTGGTGGACAGTCAACAGTTGCCACTGATGTTCCAATGGGGGCCAAGGTCAGTATCTAAATGGTGAGAAGCAGTATCAATGTCCAGGCCATGGCAGAGTGGAACCAGGGGCAGTCTGCCATTGATCCTTGGGAAGAGGAGTGAGCACAGAGAGTGGGTCTGAATGTCAGGGCTCTGGCTTGGTAGACTGGCTCAGATCCAGGTTCTAGGGCCTTAAAGAATATTGGAGAGAAAATGGGAACGCCCAGGCAAGGGCAGGGGGACTGCAATTCAGGGGGTCCCCTGATAGGATATCTCCACCGCACAGCCCTGGGGAGTGCCATCTGACAGAATACAAGGGGCACGGTGCCCCCCAGAGCTATGCCACCCGGAGGGACATGCAGGGCCTGGGGACCGGGGACACGGTCATGCATTCTGGATCCTGAACTTGGCACAGAGGACAAGCTCCAGGCCCCTTCACTACTTTGGCCAGCTGGGGCCCAGCCAGCAGTGGCAGGGAAGGATGCTTCTCCACCCCTCCTGGTGGGAACTGGAGGCCTGAGCTCAGTGCCCGGATGGCCACAATAGGCTGAGGGTTGGGCGGGGGAGCAGCAACAGGCTCGACAGGAACTTTCCTCAGATCTACAATCTGCCCCTGCTAATTACAGGCGGCCCCACTCACTTTGCCCTCTAGGGCCAGACTGCCCAGCCCCTCCCCGTTGACTCAGGAGCACTGCCAACAGGAGGGAAGGGCCCACGGAAGGTTCCAGGACGTTCAAAGGACTGGCCAACTAGGCTCAGGAGACTGGCCTTGTTTTGCTAGAAGAAATGGTTGAGAAAGAGCTTCGGAGTCCGAAAGCAAACAAGGTTCAGTACCAGACAGCGTACCAAGTGTTTTCACCAGCAATTACCTTAAACCTGAAACAACCCAGAGGTGATGTACACCATTATCCCCTTGGACACCCAAGGACTCGGGACTCAAGAAGTCACAGGGCTAACGAGAGCCGGGGCTGGGCATCAACCACCTCACAGCTGATGGAATGGTCAGAAACGACCCGACCTGACCTGGGGCCGGACAACGGGGTTCAGCCCGGGAGAAGACTCGGGGCAGTGGGCAGCAGGTTTATAAGAGGCCAAGAGACTTTTCTGATACTTCAAAAGGGACAGCAGCTCTCCACTTTCCCCGACTCACCCTTTGGGAGGCTCACCCAATTCCCCAGAGTTCCGGAGAGAAGCTGCTGTGTCTTCTCTGTTCAACCCTTTAGAGACCTCCTAGATTCAGAGAGGGGCCAGGTCCCAACCTCTGTGTTCAGCGAGCTCCCCCCAGCCAAATGTCGAGGGGCCCCTGCATGACAGACAGCTACTCACAAGCTTTCAAATTCTCTTTATTAAAAATCCTTTTTTTTTCCTTTTGTAAAAACAAACACTTGCGGTCAATTATACAGATCAGGAAAAGTGATGACGATTTATAAGACACTCAACAAATTCTAATACTTTACAAGTTCAAACTTTAACTAGTGTTTTTTTCTCCTAAGCTCAAAAAGCAAACTCTGGTCCAGTTCGAGTACAATCTAACAGATCACAGCCTCAGACTGTCCAAGGAAGGGACGGTAATGGCTGTCCTCACACCAACACCAAATCTACCAAATTCTTTGGGAATACTGCCTGTATATACTTTATTTTGGGTGTTTTACGATGAAAAGAAAATTACCTAGGCCTTTTGTTACCTTAACCCAGGGTACAAATGAATCTGTTGCTCACGGTAGCAGATGCTCTTAAACAAGCTCTTGGGGAAGACACTTTGAAATCGTTGACAAACACTGAAGAAAAGCTTTAAAAAATAAGTCCGTATTTTCCTGGTTGCCTGTAATATTGCTCTGTGTACGACACATGTAGGAATAAAAAGTGCAAATTATAGAGTGGGTGAAGGACCATGCCAATGGAATTGTATAAAAATAAATACAAATAAATACAAATATATACACAAATGCAGAATCTTAGATGATTTTTAAAGTGAAGGCTCTGATTGGATGCAGAGAGCCTCTGCTCGATCCCTCCCAGGGGCTCTCACCAGCTGTCCAGTATGGAGAAGGTCAGTCTATCAGCAAGGGAACCATCCCATTACTTGGTAATGAGGCTGTTTGAACAGCCATCCTGATTTCCATGGAAATGGTGCTGTGGGGGGGGGAGGGGCGGGGACGGGCTGGTGGGGTGGGCTTTCACTTTGCGGGAAGAAAAGACTGCCAGCCTCTCTGAAAATGCTCAGTTCCAGCCTCCGGTGGAGGTGATAGGCTCTTCCCAGCAAGGTGCCCAGAGAGCTGGCCCTGGACATCCCCTGAGTGGGAAGGATGACAAATAGGGCCAGAGGTTTTCCCAGAAATGGGGGAGGCCGGTCTCCAGAACATCAGGTAAAAACCTGTGGAGGCAGCTTGAGCTGAGCTGCCATCTTCAGAGCCCACTCTCTTTGAGACACCAACCTTTCCGAGGCCCCCGGATGGCCTCACACCGCGGTCAGGCTTCCCGCTTCCTCCAGCCCCCGACGGCGTGAGCCCAGGCTGGCCGGTTGGCCTCCAGTGCTGGCCTTCTCTGTTCTCTTTCACAGGTTCCCTGCAACTCTCTCCTCACCAGTAACCATGTGCCCGAGGTTTACACAAGATCATTTTATGTCCTACATTTCTTCCTTCTCTGTGCCTCAGATTCACTGATAAAATGTCAGTGTCGAACTCAGATAATTTCTCTATTCTTCTGCCATTAGTGCAGAGGACAGAATGTGCAGTATACATATCTACCACAAAAAAAATCTGATCTACTATAAAAAATGCAAAAAATAATATAAAACAAACAATCCCTTCTTAGTCTATCTGCGGTCAGGAATAGAAACATAGGAACCATCTTCCCAGGGCTGAGCCAGGGAAGTAGCTCAGCTTGTGGAAACAGCACAAGGCTCCCCTCTGACCTTCTTGAGGTCTTCCTCGGGGCTGTGAGCAAGCCTCATGTCCCCCCAGCACCTCTGTCCCAAACGCTCCCAGTGGAACATCAGACTCTCTAGTCTGGGGCCTGAAGGCACTCACCTCCAGTATCAGAAAACTCTACAGGAAGAAGAGTTCTGTTCTTCATGACATTCAACACCCAAGTGTGCACACAGGGGTCCTCTGAAATGCCCTCGACCTCCTGCCCACCTACCAATTCCTGGCAATCCTCAAATGCTGCTCCTCACTCCTGCAGCCTTGCTCTTCCCTTAGTTTCTCTCTCCACTGAGAGACCATTTTAAAAACCATCCCACTGAGAGGCTGCTGGAGCCCAGAGCGCAGGCACCAGGAGCGAGTCGAGGACAGATGCCATTGCCCTGTTTTGGGGTCTCTTGAGCCAGTGCCACACGGGGCTGGGAAGCCAACATTCGACCCAAGCCCGTACCAACTATTGTTCTGGCGGAAGGGAGAAGACACTACTGTTTTCATTTTTAATTGAAGTGAATCTATACCAAATTCATTGTCCAGGACAGAACAAAGCTTGGCACCTCCTGAAATCCTGAGGATGGAAATAAGTTTGGGGGGCGGGGAGGACTTAATAGAGCTTCCAAAATGAAGAGCTCGTTTCCTCCTCGGTGAAAGTCATTGCTTTTATGTTAAGGCATGAATCTGGTGGACTTCTAGAGGAACTGAGAGGTTGAAAGAGTTATTAAAAACGGGGGCTTTTCAAAAAGATGGTCCCGCTGGAGGAACTCCCAGCTTCTGCCAACTGCTGGTCTAGGGGGTACCCCCTCCAGGCCTGCACGACCCGACAACTCCCCCGGCTCAGGACGCCAGGCACAGAAAACGCTCCAGGCCCCCCAAAGTGGGTCTTGACCCGGGAGTTTCCGTGACAGCTCTTCCTTGGCCTGACCTGTCCTGTCCCATCAAGAATTTGAACACTGTGAAAATCCCTGAGAAGTTGGATTTTATGAAAAATAAATGACCCTTGGCACAGAAGGTGAGAGAGAGGGAGGGAGGGGGAAGAAGAGAGAAGCAAATTGAAGGAAACAAGAATCAGGGAGGTGGGGGGAGAGAGGGTGACCCTCAGCTGCTGGACACATCAGGTGACAGCTTCACTGCGGAGACACTTCAAGGGCATTTTCACAAGTCTCCGAGGACGAGCCGAGGCAACATGGCTGGCCTGGTTTTCCTTCCTCTCTGGCTTTAGCTTCCGTCACCGAGGTCGGGAAGGCCCCACCTCGGTTCCGGCAGCGTCAAGGCTTCTTCCTCTCAAAGTGCAGCACGATTCTGCCCTCCTCAGGCCTGGGGCTGCCGGCCCCCTCGGTCTCCTTCAGGCCCTCCTCGGCCAGCTGGGACAAATACTTCTGCGGTGGGGAGAGAGGGACAAAGGGAAGGGACAGGGTCAGTGGTGACCTGGCGGGACAGGGGAGGGGAGGGGAGGGCAGGATGTACCTGGGCCCCTTCTCGCATCATGTCTCCCAGGGTGTGGGACCCCCCTCCCAGCCCTCCCCAGTCCTTCTGGGGCTACAGGACCCACGCTCAGCTCCCTCCTCTCTCTCTGTTAGTTTACAAGTACCGCAGGGCTGGCCTCGAAAACACAGACCCCAACAACGGGACCACTTCCAAGGCCCTTATCCTGTGCAAGCGCTCTTCTCTTTCCTTATAGAAACTCACTGAATGCTCACAATGACTCCACTTGTTTTCCAGAAGAGCCTCAGTGCCCAGGGGCATGTCTGCGCGTGACAGGCAGGGGGGACCAGAGGCCAGGCAGACTGGCCGACCTACGGGGTTGGGGGGGGCGGGGAGCAGCACTGTCCTGCGCGGATTGCCAAAGCCGGCTGCCGCCTCTTGTAACCACCTGTTTCCTGGCAGGCAGAGGGCAGGCTGAGAGCCCGGAGGTCTGTCGCTGGATTCCTGTTCTGTAGCTGGGGGCTGCCTCATACCGCCCCGGACACTCGCTGCCATCACCGCTGGCCCCCGGCCACACGGCAGGCCGCCCCTGGGATTCTAGATTCCGTGCAGTGAGACGTAACGGGCCCCACTGATTGCCCAGGCAGCAGGGGGCAGTGCAAAGAGCACTGGATTAGGAGTCAGTGGGCAAGCGGTCACATGCGTGGGCTCTGCTGCCAGACGACCCGGGTGCAGATCCTAGCTCTCGGCAGGCAAGCCACCCAGGATCTCTGACATCTATGCAGTGTGGTTAACAATAGGAACTACCACTGTAAGGTGGCTGTGAAGTCCACGGGAGGTACTGTAAGCACTCAGCGCCTGGCTCAGCATAAGTACCCCGTAATGTTGTCCTTTATCATGAGGGGCATCGGCCTTCTGACTGGGAAAGTACTCGTCTTCTCTCTGCCTCTGACTCCTAATCTGGTAAACGGGAGAAACGGTGCCTTCCTCCTCCCAGGGTGATTCTGAGGGTCAGACGAGGTGATGCCTGTAAGATGACCTGCTCTCTCTAGAAGAAACCGGTTGGCTCTGAGAGGTGGGTGAGCCTGATGGGGAGAGCGGCAGACCGACCGTGGGTCCCTGCGGGCCAGGCTGCTGAGGGAGGGCCTGGTTTGTTCTCCACCTCACCCCAGGAAGGGAAATGTGGGCTCACTCCTCTCTGGACCTGGAGCGGGAGGCATCTAGTTTTCCTATCTGACCTATCTGACTCCCCTCGTTGTTCTGGGTCACTCTGGATGGGTTCTCTTCGGGTTCTTTATTTGAGAAAAAGGGAGAGAGAGAGCAGGAGCAGGGGAAGAAGCAGAGGGAGAAGCAGACTCCCTGCCAAGCGGGGAGCCTGATGCAGGGCTCGATCCCAGGACCCTGAGATCACGACCTGGGCTGAAGGCAGACACTTAACCAGCAGTGGGGGCCCAGCAGAGGCTGCACAGGGAGAAAGGAGGCTGCTTCCACCTGCTCCCCGCCTCAAAGAGCAATCCCTCACCCCCACCTCAAGGCCTGCTGGTGGTGCTAAGTTTACAAGTTGCCTGACTTAGGTGTGAACCAACACCTGCTGCTCGGGTTTGAATTCTTCACTTTTCACACATGTAACGTGGGGTAGTGTGGGGTGCGTGAGGCTGTGTGGACAAGAGACATTCTGTCAAGGCCACTGACAGAAACCTTATCTGAGAAGCCCGCGGTGGAGGCCCCCAGCTCCCCAACAGATGTGCCAGAGAAACCTGAACTGCAGTTGGTGGGCCTGAAAGGCTTAGCCCATGTCTGGCCCTGACGTGCCTGGGGACCACGGGAATGGCTCTGGCCTGCTCTGGGGAGGTGAGTCTGCCTGGGGAGTTGGCCCATAGGCCCAGAACACAGTGTAGTCCACTGTCCTGGAAAAAAAAATACAGGATTTAGAATCAGAGGCCCTGGCAAGTCTGGACTCACCCTAACTTCTTGAATGATCTTGAGTTGCGTGGTCTCCTTGAGAACTACACAATCCAGCTGAGAATACCACATGAGATCAAGAGCTCGCACACTGAGGTATCAGAACCTGCTATTTTTTTAAATGAGGATTTTCAGGCCCAGCCCTGGAGAGAATGAATAACGGGTGTAGGGTGGGTCCAGGAAGCTGCATGTTTAAAAATGCCAGCTGGTATGACGACCACAGTTGGGGAAAATCAGGACTAGATGATCTCCAACGCTGCCATTCTATAGGTTTTATCTTGTTGGGGTGGGGGATGATGATGTCTTCAGGGTAGATGGCCACCCTCTGCTGGCTCTGTAGAGCCCAGTCTGGATGCTTGGTCTGGTCAAGTCAGGCCTTCACTGCGCTCCCCCAGGAGAGGCCAGGACTTGGGCCCCAGGCCCCACAGCTTCCTTGGTCACAGAGTGGCTGCTCGCAGAGGGAAATCAAGAGGCTTAAATGACATGAGTCCGGGCATAGCCAATGACAATCCCTTGCAGATGGTGACACAGGCCGTGCCATTATGGGTCTTGGTTTGCAAGATCAGCTTAACAGGCTAAAAAAGGGCAAGTGATTAAGAATCAGGCAATCTGTTTCCGGGCCTGGTAACTCACCATCTGCATGGCCTTGGACAAATCACATAGCTTCTCTGGGCCTCAATATCCTCAACAAAAAACAAGAGTTGGCCCATATCTGAGTCTCTTAACTAGGGATGCACATTGGAATCATATGGAGAACTTTCTCAAATTATGTATTCCTGGATCACCTCCCCCCATTCTACTGACTAGCTCACCTAGTATGTGTGTGTATATATATATATATATATATATACACGTATATATACATATATATACGTGTATATATATATATATGTATACTTTCAAAACACTGTC